GGGGGGTGGGAGAAGGCCAGCATATGCTTTGAAGCGGTCTCGAACTTGCTGTACAGTAAGTAGCTACCGGAGGAGCCTCAACACTCGAGATCCTGCCCTGCCTTTATATTTGAATGAACCCATTCTCCTTTTCTTACGCTCATTGTTTCCTCTTCCTCCTTACTCAAAGCAAACCCGGAGCTTTTCATTCAAAAGATGACAAATCCGTATCGGCGAGCAGCAAGGCTCCTTCACGAGACCCAGTCACTTCTCATCCAATCCTATCGTTCTGATGCCATCACTACGATTCCGTTTGTATCCGGGATTTTCCCTATGACATGTTGTGACGTATTAACAAGCCCGTGAAGCCACAGGATGTCATCTCCCGACATTTATTTTACGAGATAAGGCTCAACATCATCAGGCCGCAGACCCTCTCAAACCAGCTTGTAAATCCCAACATGTAAAACAATGCGACAGTTTCACGTCATCCCGCGTGCCTTTGTGTCAAGATAACTCTGTGTCATCCCACGAAAAACACAAATCCCAGACGCTAATATGACCGGGGTAAAATATCGTATGACAAAGCAGTCCCTAAAAAAGTTTATGCGATGATGTGGCGCTGTACTGAATTATAAATGCTCGACGTGTATTTATGTTCAAAGGGAGGATGCGTGCAGTGTATGTGTGCCACTGCGGCAGGGAGTCTCGGCATTCATTGGCGGAGTCTCACACACACACGTACACACACACACACACACACACACACACACACACACACACACACACACACACACACACACACACACACACACAGCAGCACATGCTAACTGGGTCAATGAGATTCCCTCGTGTTCTTCTACCAGCTTTTGATAAGCAATACATGCTCGAATTTGAAATTGTCATCATCCAATTTGCGAGCTATATGTGCCCCATGCACAGATCTTCTACACCCAAGTGTGGGCAAAGTATGGCGCGCACGCAACGCACAAGCCCGCGTCATGTATGTGTCATTTCATGTTTTCAATGCAGTGATGACTCATGTGAATGGCAATTCACGTTTTAAGTTTGTGTCAGCTGAAAAAAAAAAAATTTATATATATATATATATATATGAAGGTTTGTTGCACACACTGTGCTGTCAATAGTGTTTTCTTGCTTCAATAACACTACCGCCCCCCCATAAAAAAAGGAAAACATGGATTGCATCACAGTGTGCTTTCCAGCTTAAAAAGAAAGTTCCACCAAATTGTGTGACTGCAGGAGGTCCCCCAAAGTGAGTCATTAATAAACAATAAGCATAATCAACGTTGACCTTTGCCATGACAACATAAAAAATGAAATATGCGAGGTAGAAAAGATTAAATGTATTTATGTTCAGTGAGGTAGAGAAAGAAATAGACCGTTGTTATTCAGCGAAATTGAGAAAATAATAAGAGAAGTAATTATGGGAGGTCAAAGAGCTTGTCTTTATTTTAGTTTTTTAAACTGAAACGTCACTTTTGAAAATGCACTTCCAATGAAGCGGCATAACAGGTTGTCATTTTTATGTGAAGCATGGGTGTCTGCGGAATGTAACTCTTGAAGCAACTGAGGGGGGGGACCGGAGAGAGCGTTTGTTTTTGTGGGACAAACGTTAAGGAGAACCAAGCCCCAAAACCTGCACACTTCCCCAGAGTCATCCTGCAGTCCCACCCATCCTAATGTCAGCCCACGCAGGATGCAGTCGCAATGCTAAATGTTCCTCTCTCTCTCTCTTAGCAATCCACGCGCACTTTACGTTCGCATGACTACGCCGCTTCCACAAATAGGCTAACTTAGAAAGAAACCTGAATAAAACTGTCGCTTCCTTGGCAGAGGCAACAAAAGTAGCACAAGACAGACGTTTGAATCTCGTTTGTTGCTAGGCCGGAATCTGAAGGCACTATCATTCTCCAAGTGTCTGGCTTGCTGTCCACACTGACTCTCCCTCCCTGCTACTCTATGTCGGGCTCTTGTTTGTTACTGGGGAGGATTGATAGGGGGGGGTGTCTGTCTGACTTCCTGTCCATGCTGGCTCTCCCCGTCCTTTGTCGTTGTGTAGTCGAGGGAACAGCCTAGCAAGGGTGACTGTACTACTGTATGTCAATTTTTTTTTAATTGGGATTTTGGGCGTACCGATTATTGATTTTTGCCTAGAAACCTGTGGTGACATGACCTAAAAAAATATATATGTTGCTGCGGGGTATGTAGTCTATATCCACTGACCTCTTTGGCCCGCTCCAGCTCGTTGTGCAGCGCCTGCTTGGAGATCTCCACCTCGATGATCCTCTGCCGCAGCTGCTCGTTCTCGTCCTCGGCTCG